CAATTGCCTCATAGAGACCTTGACTCAAAAAAAGATATGGTTTATGAAGATGTTTCATTTAATTCAATGTCTGATAAGAAATTTTAAATAGAAAAATCAATGATATAGCTTGCGCTTTTGGCGTGTCGTTTTCTACAGGCATTATTTTAAAATTACTACAAAATGATGCACTTATTAAAGCGAGACCTATTGACTCCATGCTAAGATATAAAGACCTGCAAGCAAAATAGAGATACTTTCGCTAAGATAAAAACACTAATGAATGAACTGTATGCATTCTCATCTTGTTTTGTGAAAATTTAAATTTAAAATTTCATTTTAATCAAGACTACCAACATCTTCATTCTAAACCAAACCTCAAATACAATACTTTTAAAATCGTGATGTTAAGTACAAATCTCTTTTTTTTTTTTCTCATTTTCAACTTTTACTTTTGTTATATTTTCACTAATTTTAATATATTCCAATTTTATCCGATGCATAACTTCGTGTAATTATCATAACTTTTATTTTGGTCACGCTTTTTCTTTTACGTTTCTGTTTTCTTCCTTACAAAGTAAATGAAACAACATTATTTCTTTTTCAATAAAACAATCCAGGCATAAACAAAATGGTGGCAAACTCTGTAATGACATATCGAGTCGAGACAGCTGAGTACAATCCGCGGACATGTGTACCCACCGCGTAAGGTAGGTACGCTCTTGCGCAAAAGGCACTGTGAGCAAGCGGTCCGGTTTTACGAACGCGACGTTAATGCGTCATCGCGCGCTAACCGGAAGCGCGGAAATGAAATGCGATAATTTCGCGAAGCACAGCTAACTAAATACATTGCATATACATAATAAGTTCACGTTCAATCAGAATGTAAACATCATTATGGTATGTACAACTTTTAAAACTTTTTATCGTTCCATAATTTTAATTATTATATTATATATATAATATACTATAAATAAATAGTAATATAAGATATTATAATATTATTATATTACTATTTTTATTGGTATTACGGTGATCGGTTAGTTTGAAATCAACTAAATGAGCCAGTGTTTAAGTTTACAGTTAACGACATTTTTGTTAGGGAAGCCTAACGGTACTAAATTAAAGTGGTTTTTAAAATTCGACTGTTTCTTTTGTGCATTTAATTATCATTATGGTCAATAGTTGCTTGTTTATACGCGAAAACTTGACATAAAAGATTTTATTATTTTCATTTTAAAGTTGACGGAACGGGCGCTCAGTCCGTCCCGCGTAATATTTGGCAGGATTCGTGAATCCTGCCAAATATTCGAAACGTCGGGAGTTAAGTAACTGTATTTTATAGTCGTATTGTTTTTAATTACTCAAAAAACCGGCCAAGTGCGAATCGGACTCGCGCACGAAGGATTCCATACCATTATCTATAAAAACGGCAAAAAAAAATCATGTCTATTGTATGGGAGACCCACTTAAAGTTTTTTACTCGGTTTTTAGTATTTGATGTTTTAGCAGCAACAGAAATACATTATCTGTGAAAATTTCAACTGTCTAATTATCACGATTCATAAGATACAGCCTACTGACAGAAGGCCAGAGAGACAGACACACAGTCAGTCAGACAGACAGACTGCGAAGTCTTAGTAATAAGGTTTCCATTTTACTCTTTGGGTACGGAACCTTAAAAAAGAACTATTTTGCCACAAAGGTAAAAACCGAAGTCGTTCTTGCCTCACGATGCACACTAACCGACACCGAACAGGATTATAGTTCGTTTGCCAAAGTATGCCGTTGTATGCAAATTCATATCGCTTAAATCGTCCCTTAATCCAATTCACCAGCCCTAGTGCCTAGTGATCGAACGCACTATTAAGTAAAGAAGTAAAGTAACAACCTACACATGTCCCACTGCTGGGAAAAGGCCTCCTCTATACAGAGGGTATCAGGGCATAGTCCACCACGCGGCCCCACTGCGGATTGGCGGACTTCACATATCTTCGAAATATTTTTTTTGTTATTATTTCGAAAATATGCAGGTTTCCTCACGATGTTTTCCTTCACCGCGGAGCACGAGATAAGTTAGCACTTAAAGTTAAAAACTTCATTGGTGCCGGCACCGGGGATCGAACTCAGGTTGCCTGAGTATATTGAATTAAAGGCGAATGCCCGGACACTAGGCTATCACGGCTCACTATTAAGCCTTTACTAACTACTAATTTTACTTGTTGATCGAATCATTGCGTACAGGCGCGATCTATGTCGAAGTGTGTGCAGTCTCGTGATTTGAGATTGTTTTTAGGGTTCCGCACACAAAAGGTAAAACGGGACCTTATTACTAAGACTTCGCTGTCTGTCTGTCACCAGGCTGTATCTCATGAACCGCGATAAATAGACAGTTGAAATTTTCACAGATGAAGTATTTCCGTTGCCACAACAAATACTAAAAAAAAACAGAATAAAAAAATATTTAAGTGCGGTTCCCATACAGTTGTTAGTTAATTAATACATGTAAAATCTATTTGTCCCTGGTGAAGACACCACCGGTTTCATATAATTTACCTAAGAACTTACATAATGCTACATTACTTATGCACAGAACTGTTTTTAAGGAACTACACATAACCAGGTAGACAACCTCTTCCTTATTATGTGTCTATATTGTGGAGTTGTTGTGGAACAGCAGTGCAGCCCTGCTAATTCATCATCATCATTATTTGCCATTCTTGATGATTAGAGTGGCAAAAAGTAATACCAACATTCCTTTTATCCCTCAAACCAATCTCGGTAGCAGAGGACAGGGAGAGCGGCTCTGCATCTATCATTCTAAGTCAATTCCCCAAACCCTCCTGGAAAATATCAAGAATGGGTTCAATAAGTCAATTCAAAGAGGCTTCCTAAGGCCGTCCTTGTGCCGCAAACCGATCCTCTGTAGTACTCCTCTTGGCTACGAAGCCAAGCTTCCCGATCACAGCAGTAGAATCACCAGACCAAGTACTTGCCGATCACCAATATAACACACTTGATGTGGTATTTATCATTCAAACCATCTTAACTATCGCACAGTTCATGAGAGACAGCCTGACAACAGATGGACAGACAGACGGACAGTCTGTGTAACAGGGTCCCGTTTTACTCTTTGGGTACGGAACCCTAAAAATGAAGGTAATATCGAAATAGTTTTTTTAAAAAGGCCGGTAAGCAATTTTAGATATTAAGATCAGACAATAGAAGTAAAAAGTTATAAATTGACAGATCCCAGTGGGATGTCCACTCGTCCAATAAATTTTAATCGCCACGCTATACCGTAAAAGCTTTATAAAACGCAATCATTTAAATGGCATTTCATTAGTGATATCGCAATTGTCTCGTTTCATTAGCACAACATCAATCATGTTTGTTATTTGTATGACTTTTATTTATTAACGGACGGCATCTAACGTTGGCATATGCGGACTGATGAACGTGTAGAAGAGCCCGTGGGAGTCCTTCATTACACTTACAGACTTATTTCTGTTCATGGCTACCTACACCGATGTGTGGAACCAAAAATTTTTGCCAACTATATATTAAAAACTATGCATTAAAATTAAGTTTACTCTTTTGTCAAAAGAGTGAAGGTTACGATAAAAAATTTATTGAATTACAAATAACCATGAACACTTTTCAATCTGCAAGTCGTCGTTAGCGTGTTTGTAAATCAATAAAATATCAGAAAAATATGTCTCAGCTGGGTGAAGGTCGACCTCTCACGGGCTCTTAGAGGTCTTAGACCAAACATGTAATTAAGAAATCAATTCACTCCTTACTCACTCTTCACTTGTCATCAGATGTATGTGCAAATTTTTTATTTGCAATATTTCAAGCTGCAAACAAGGGCCTATCCAAAAGGGGCAAGTTGGGCAAATAGCCAGAGCGGCAAAAATGCCGCTCTGGCTATTTCCGGCTGGTTGCGTATATATTTTAACTAGCTATAGGCTATAAATTCTTAGAAGGGCGGAGAAATTTTAAAGTGTCTATAACTTTCATAATGCTGTCGCCTAATAGGCACATAGGCAAAATGAAAAATTGAAAAGCTCTTTTGAGAACCAGAAATAATAATTTTCCACAAGTTTTGAGTGGGAAATATAGTTTTATCCATTATACATATCTAAACTGCTGATCCTTTTCGTTTCGTTCATGTTCAAGATTTTCGATTTTCCCAACAAAGTTTAGAGAAGTATTTATCTTTGCTAGTTTGTATCATATTAAATCCTTACAGAGCGTGAGCTACGTCTCAACAACGTCCAAATAAAACAAATCTATGAAAACAATTATAGAAACAATAAAAATGTAGCAAATATAGCAATATGTGTACTTGTAAAAATTAAAAAGATTAGTCCAATTTGACACAGTAAAGTGTTTTACAGTTGCTAAGCTGTTATCTTCGGCAATGGGAGTCGTGGGCTCTTATCCGAAGCAGGAAAAGTATTTGTGTGACTAAAGATAGTTGTTCCGTATCCCGGTGTTTGTTCCCAAGGAGTTGGGAACTAATATTTGTGAGAAAGAATAAAAAAAAACTTAATGAAATATCCTTACTTTTTCCATGATTAGTTTCTGAATGAATTATTATATATACATAATCTTTGATGTAAAATTTGACGATTCATAAGCGCGCGCAAGCGTCTATTGGAATAAATATATTTTCGATTTTGATTTGATTTTTTTAAATGAATATCATAAAAATATTCACTGTTCTCTTAATTGAAAGATGCATAGGTCGATAAGGAATTATTTTAGTCCTTTCTGGGATATTATTGACAAGCTTATCATTCTGTAGCCCTAAAAGATGAGGTTATAAAGCGCGGCAAATATCATTTTTGCCCGAAGCGGCTAAATTGCCTGATCGGACCCTGACTGCAGCGATGTTCCTCCCTTTCTAAAGCCGGCTTTAATGCACGTATAGGTGTTGTTAAATCTCTTGTTATGTCGCGCACAGTGACGAACTATTAAGGCCTGTATGGAGTGATTTTTTAACTATTTGGGTGATGAAGCTGGAGAAGCGGATTACGAGCAACCCCTTATTGAGCGGCTTGAGTGAGTTGAAATCTGAACCGAGAGCTTATTTCTAATTGGCCTTTGTATAATAAGATTTATTAGAACGAGAGGCAATTATTTCCTTTTCGTCATCGCGAAGGCTTTACATGCTTTCGATGGCCATCGAAAAAGATGTTCAAATGTTCGATAGGAAATCGTAGAAATCCATTGTCTGATAAATGCGTGATGCCATTAAAACAACTGGCTTGAATCACAAATATAATTACAACGCAATTATCGATAATTAATCAATTATAAATGACGATTGGTAATGGTTTTAATTTTCCTTTACGTATTCTCCACGATTGATTATGAATACAAATAATTTTACTTCACATATATTTTTGCGTTTATAATAAATAATACATTATGCTAAAATACCATTACATAAGGATATAATTGCATGACCTTTATAATTAATGGCCAGCCGTTTACTTCATTAAAATATTCCTCATCAGTGCTATGTATACACTTCTTCAAGGCCACCAAGGTTGCATTTACGATACATAATCTATGAGGACATTATAAATTAATTAACTAAAAATATAAAGGCGTTATTTAAATTTTAAAAACACTACATTTGTAAGGATTTCGATATTTTCGTTATAACAACGAACAACGGCTTATTTCTTCAAACGCTGCACGAATAACTGAATTACAAATGGAAATAAGCGCAACAACAATGTCGAGCTTTGTGCTCTCGTGCTTCTAAAGGCCACTTAGTTTTATGAGCGACCTGCCAGTTTGATTTTATAAATAAACTTTGGTCTATAATTGTTTTAGCCCGCCATTGACAGGACTCTACACAAACATTAATTTATTATAAACAAGGCCGGTGCCGTGACTTCATCTTCGGCACCATGTGCACGGAAACTATTCAGTTACTCGAACAACGCTGTTTACCATGTAGACTACTTCACACGGCATTGATGTTCCTACTCTTTATAATAAAACACTTAATAAACAAAGGGTTTTTTTTATAAGAATCTGGTGTGTTTTTGTCCACCGCCGATTTGACGGTACGTGACGATGCGGCCGCGGGTGGTAAACGTACTATTGAACATTATAATGAAAGACGAATAAAAGCCGTTGTCCCTTAGCCGTGGAATGGCGACAACTAAAGGGTACGGCTTCGTGGCAGTCTGGGGGGAGGGATATGTTCAGTAATGGACTCTAGGAGTCTGAAATCATGATGATGATGAAAGAGTACGGATGTCCTGTGTGGTCTTCAATTTTAATGAAATTATTAATCCACTATGGGAAAAATATAATTTTATCAATAATCGGTACAGATAAATAAAATTCGAGTGTCTGTTTGTAATATGAAAATAACCGCTTTTTACTAAATACAAATGGAGGTATACACGGTACTTATACCAAAATGACAATTTTTACAATTTTTGTCTGTCTGTCTGTTTGTTCCGGCTAATCTTTGAAACAGCTGGACCAATTTTGACGGGACTTTCACTGGCAGATAGCTGATGTCATAAGGAGTAACTTAAGAAACTTTTATTTTAGAAATTTTAAATTGCACGCGGACGAAGTGGCGGGGCACAACTAGTTAAGGTATAAAAATATCAAACCCCGTTTATAACTTTGGAACAATAGTGGAGGAGTGCGGTTTGTTTAATCACTAGGCAATCTTAAATATTATAAATGAAAGCAGAACCTCTAAAAGTAAAACCCACATAAGTTATTTTATATATCTATTATATAAAGTAAATCAATGGAAAACATTTAAATACTATGAATACGTTTTAATTCCTTCGTATTCTATCCAATTAACGTCATGATAAGTGAAAGCTTTACCATATAAAAACTCCCGTGAACTCATAACACAACGGACCAATAAAAGGAAATAGAAATCAATAAACGTACCGCTAAAATCAGCTATAGCTTTTCTAAGACCACGATAACTCACTTAAGACACATAAAGGGAAAACAAAAAACACACCTTCATGTTTGCTGACAAATCGGTTAAGGGAGTGATGGGGCGAACTTATATAAGCTTTATTACCAGCACGCAAAGTGTGAATTGGATTAGCAGGGTTGATAAAGGCCGCGTTCCACTTTCAGGCGCGTTAAAAGCTCAGGCCCGAGCCTATGTATGTGATTGAGTTAGGAGCGGCGGTGCGGTCTGTAGCGTCACGTCACTGATATAGACAAAGCTATCAGCTGAACCAACGCCTGGTGATATAAAACTTCAAATAACTATATTATCTAAATAATATATTTATAAAACAACTTCTACTAAATATTTTCATCAACTTTACGAAAGCCGATCTTAATGAATGTTTAAGGTAATTTTTGGCCTATTAGGTAAATCTTTTTTTAGGTGAGAAGGTGACAAGCAAGGTGGCGGTTCACCTGATATTAAGTGATATCCGCCGCCCATGGACATTTGCAACACCTGTAGGGTTGTAGATGCGTTGCCACCATTTAACAAAGATGCCCTACAACCTATCACATCAGATTCATCATGACCTATCAAAGTTACTATTATGATCGATTTTTTTTAGAATTGGAGATGTTTTATAATTTTACACAAATTTTTTATATACATGAATAACATCTTGGTATTTTAAGTTCTTTATATAATATATTAATAACTTTTAAATTTTAAAAAGTTATTTATTATAAAATATTTTTTAGTTATTTATATTTTTTAAGTTATTTATAAAAGTTATTAATATTAAAAAGTTATTTATATAATATATAAATAACTTTTAAATTACCAAGATGATGCGTTGTTATTACATAATTACTTTCCTGTTAAATCACTTACATAATGATTCTGCTACTACATTTATGTACATTCTATGAGTAACATTAAAAAACAAAAACTGCATTGGCAATAATATGGTTACTTAAAAAGTTTGTGGCATTAGTATAAGAGAGATTAGATCATGTGGGTGCGACCAATTAGAATATGTAACATATTAATAAATAGGGGAAATTAGATGAATTTTGCAGTTAATGTGCAATCAATGCTGCAAATTGCATTTGCAGGCAGACAAAAACACCTCATGATAAACACAACGGCTGTAGTTAATTATTGATTGGTATTAACACGCTATAAATGCTATCGTACTACGAAAAAACTAATCTGACCTGTACTTATATCAACGGTGAAGCATGTCGTCGAAAACCGAATTCGCTTCGGCCATTGCGCACCTGTTAAAAAACAAGCCATTTATAGAAAGAAGTTTTTAGACGAACAATTCAATCTCGTATAACTCGCGATTAGCGTAAATGGCCCCGTCTCGCACTTGTGGTCAGGTTACAGCTAACTTTAATTGCCCGAATTGCGCAGTAATACTAACGGGAAAATTCAAAACTTTTATTCGTGTCCTCGTTAGGGAATTATATAGCAGGGCGCCGATATGAGAAGCGTTCAAAATTGCAACCACCAACGAACGCCGAAAACCAAATAAATCTTTTGATGACACTTTCGTATAGCTCCATAGATTATTAAACATAATAGAGTCTTTCAAATCAAAATTTAGATTGATGCCCTTCATATTGTAACTCTATGTGCGGCGTACACAGCGTTGCCGCTCGAACCTGCTGTCAATAAAACGATTAAGGACTATATCACGGGCACCGCAAACAAGCAAACAAAACGCCACGCCACCTCGACCCCTTTACTTTGCTCCATTGTCACGATATATAGGCGGATTAACGGGCGGTGTAAAAAGGAATTAGGTCGGCGCTCGGCGGGCGGCCCGAGGGACGATTTGGACAGGCCGTGGCGGAGATTAGGGTGGGCAGGGGCGCGGCTGGCGCACCGTGAAATGCCGCGCCATTTCTCCGCGGCGTGACGTCACGGGCCACTCCTGACATTTCGGCTACAGCGCCAACGGCCCTACCTTCGCACAATGCTGATAACTAAAAAATAAGTCCACCGCCTTCCCGATAGCACGTTTGGCATTTGCCAAGCGATGTCTTTCGACTGGTTTCACATCAGTTCTTTAGTTCGAAAGGTTCCTTCTGTTATATGTCTTGTAGGGGCACAGGGAACGTGAGGCAAAGACGAGCGCTACATTAAGACTGTTTTATATATTGATCCCAGATGGACAACTGAAGGACTACTTAGTGATCATATTTCCAAGTTGAATATGGATATGGTAGTATGTATTCAAATAAAATTATGCATATTTTACGAGAGCGGCCATAAATAATTTTCATGTTATCCCCTGATTGACGCCATTTGTTTTGTACACAATATTTATTATGATTATGGGAGACCAGCATGAAGTGGATGTGTTACACTTCTGAGTTTCGTTTGGTGTTCCCCTGATCTTCTACGGTAGGTTTTTAAAAATAATTTTCATTGAGAGCGTCGTAAGGGTAAGGGTAAAGGTTGAGGGTTTGAAATTTGGGACGGCGTCGATAGCATGCATACAAGTCTGCACTTAGATACACCAAAACACAATTGAGTCCATTAGAATTATTTGAAAAAAACCTATCGATTCTTTAATTATGTTCGATTTTCATATCAACGGTAGTATAAAAATTCTTCCGATTCGAACATTATGATGACTGATATGGCCAAAAATTATCACAACGTTCTTCATTTCGCTTTTGTTGATGAAATTTGTTTATGTAATTGTTTTTTTTTTAAACCTACAAATACCTTCTTCATAAATTACTTTATCGTCGAAGAATTGAAATCCATATGATATAGAAAATAAAGTTTCACGAATTTTTTTTTAAGAAACCCGCTAACTCTTTTTGGCCTTATGCGGTGTGATTGTAGGTCATAAACATTTCGATTCTGGGAGGACGGTAACAAGTCAAGTGGGAGCCAGGGGAGGTATTTGCCTCCCCTGGGTGTTTTAATGCGCAGTGCTGAGGCGTTTCGTAGGTGAACTTGAAACCTCATCAAAAGGTGGTCAACGAAAGGATTTATTCTACGATTATTTAAGGATTAAGGATTTATTCTTTAAATCTACGAGAATCTCCAATTAATCTATAAAGGAGACTGGGTAAATGTTAAGGATTTCCCCCGACAAGCAAATTAAAAAAATGATAAAATCACTTCAAACTATCTTTTTTTAGCTTATTGCACCTACCATAATCTCCCTCCACGCCCCGAGTTGACTGGGAGAGAATGCCCAAATGGCATTGAGTCCACCTTTTGTAATCCTTTTTTTAAGGTTTTGCAATAAAGCATAAATAAATAAAATCGCAGGACACCCTAGTTGCCATCGAAGAATTAAAAGTGATTGTGGAGGGCCATCGCAAGCCACGTCAGAGTTAGCGGCAGGCTTCGGTGTGCCTTTTTCAGGAATGGAGTCAATGAACTTCCTATAAAATGAAAGTGCATTGATAATAAAGGTACGTATACTTAGTTTGATAAATTATATAATTTCACATACCTACTACTTTTTTTGGTTTTACTTTTTCCATTTAAAACGACAATTTCACATGTAGGAACCTAATATTATTCCTTTTAAAGAAAATGGTGACAAATTTTCTTGCGGTTCACCGACGGTAAGTGATTACCAGCCTTCATTAATAGCTCTTGTACCTTACAGGTGCATTGCCAACCTTAAAGGAGTAGATGGTAAAAAAATAATATTATTTCATTAGTAAATAGGTCGGGTTTGAGCGTTGGAATGGTCAAAAATGTTGGCTTAGTACATCATCAACGTGATACGACATAATACATAATACGAAAGGAGCTTTAAAGACAACACGGTGTTGGTGGTTTCTCACGGTGGTAGGGCCACGCATCAGCCTCGGCTATTGCACCAATGGGCAGGCTCGTCAGGGTAAGTACCACGACCTCACAGAAAACCGGCGTAAAGCGGAAGTATAAATACTTTCGCGTTTCGTCTGGTGAGTGAGGTGGCCGGAGCCAAGTTTTCAAAAGGCTGTCAACACACCTCCCTCGGAACCCTCGGGTGTAGCAGATCCATGGCCGGCAGTATTCACTAAACATCAGGTGAACCGTCTGCTCGCTTGGCAACTTCACACATTAAAAAAAACTAGTCAATAAAAGAGAACGACGACATATGGTCGCGAAACAGTTCAAGGTTCTAGATCGAAAGCCATTAATAATTATACTTTAAATAATTCAGAAAATTTGTTCTACATCGTGAGAACCTTAACAGCTTCGTAATGCCTGTGATACATAAGATTACAAAGGTATCGGTAGTTATAAAGACAATTAATAAATAGACAACTTGACTAAAACTTTTAGGACACAACAGCGTCCAAACGAAATACATACAATGACGAAATTTGAATTTTAAATATTTGATATAGAAAATGAATAAAAAAAACGAGAGTATTGGTACCACGCAAGAACGCTACGCTATTGTGTAAGTAAAAAATTAGTTCACTTTATTTTGAAAATAGGCAGGAACACTATCCGTAGCTTTTCTGTAATGGTTATCAGTCCTTAACTTGACCGATGTCAATTCAAAACTGAGCCGTATGTTTAAGAATGGTCTACATTATGTAGTACTTTGTATTAAAAAAATTACGTTGCATCAATTTCAAGTAGATGTCTTTAATTTCAAGAAGGTTAATCTACTTCCAGCAACCTTAAAAAGTCCAGAGTTGGTTTTAGACAGTAATAGTCTAGTGGTAGGAACTTTGATTTGAGATCTAAGAATGCAAGTTCAAATCCAAATGATGTATTTCTTTGATTTACACCTTTATTGTAGGTGCCCCTGGTACTTTTCCGAACCGGTGGTAGTGTTTTGACTATCAATAAGTGAGTGTAATGCTCCTATGTTGAATAAATACATTTGATTTTGATTTTTGACATACATGAATATTTCACTGTAAAATGTTCATGTATGTATTAGGTACTATATGTCCATATAGTACTATAGATTTTAATTTGAAATTGATTATATCTTGTTGCTAACTTAGTAGTAAATTTGCAAACTAAACTATACCATATTTTTAAAAACTCCTTACAGTACTACAATGCATATGCTCTCAATTTCCTGATAAGCCCAATTTCCTCAGGGCATTCCCTTACATTCATATGCATACATTCACTTAGGGCAAGCATACTCTGTTGCATTTGAATACTTTTCACATTTTTAATGAAAATGATGAATGTGCAAACAGTTTAATAGGTTTTCTAATGTTAATGTTTTTTGTTTGTTAAACAATAATGTAACACATATTAAGTGTCAACATGTGGAGACGCGTATTTTGAGATACAGAATATTGACAAACCACAGAATTTTGCCATATTTAAAAGTTTTGAATGGTGACCTGTTTTATTAATTCGATTGGATGTGATGTCACCCCCCTGGAGACGGATAGTTTTTTTATTATACACTTTTAAATTTTATTTATTCCATAGAATCTAATAAGAATGTCACAGGGGAGGGTTCCCCTCCTGCCTGTTGTTCTAAACCAGGCTTAACAACTGAAGCGCTAATGAGTGGTTATAAAAAAATAACCAAAATGTTAAGGCAGGAGCTCCGCTCCTTCAAACATTCTAACCTAATCTTTCCGAGTCAGATTGCTCTGTGTCGGATCAGAAACTCATTGAGTTGAAAAAAAAAATTTATTGAACAAGTTGGTATGGAAGTCAACCACTTCTGATATTTATCATATTGGCAATATTGTGTATTCAGTTTTATTAAAATTAATAAACTGTACATACTGTCTTAGTGAAAAAAACAAGTTTTCAATATTTTTTTCTTGTAAACGGAATCCGACCGGAGAATTCTGCTTGTTGATTAATTCATTAGTGATTTTTCTCTATCGTTTAAATTTTTTTTATTAATCGCATCTTCGAAAACACTGAAATTTATCAAAATTACGTTCCATTTCATGTTTCATAAGATTTTTAAATTTAAAAAAATAGGCTATTAAATTTTTTACATGTCTCCTGCAGAAAAAAATACATTAAAGTGCTTCATACAAACCTCCTTAGCCTCCCCAAACTTACAGTTTACTTTAATTCAAGCGACTTGATTCTAAACACAACCCCAAATATCTATTCTGTTTGTGAATAAAGTGTAGAACTTTGATTGTATCTATGGCCTCCAAGAGTTTAACCTCCATCCCCTTGATTCTTTCTTTTGACCCATGCACTTTCCATTAGGTTTTTGAATTATCATGGTTTATTGCTGAAGGAACATGCTATTTACAATTTTTTTTAATATAATTAAAGTGCAGATATGAGTAACTATAGAGATTTTATAACATTCAAATAAGTACTACTTATTTGAATGTTATAAAACTCTAAAACGACAATAATATGAAAACTTCACATTTAAGGAAGTGTTGATACTTTATTGCTAAGCAAGGCTAGTACTATTTGAAAAAAGCAATCAACAATTGGATTTTGAAATATTTTAAACTAATCCATGACATATGATGCAATACAATTTATTATGCATTAATAAAATGTAAACAATAAAACATACATTTTCATATAAATATAAATTTTAAATCAATATATAGAAAATATTAATTTATATAATAACCATTTGTTTTCATAATACACTTTAAATATATCTTTATCTTAATTTGCTCGAAATTTAGTAGTAAGGTTCAAATTCATGAAATATAAAACTATTCCGTGAGGCTTAATAGCAAATAGATATAAAATGAATTGAATGAAAAACATTCACAAATTTACATTCGCAAATTTATAAAAATTAACTTACCTTGGTTAAAATGAAATAAACAGGTATCAACATCAAATCGGTTACGTATACAAATTTTGTTTATGCACTCATATTTTTAAAAGTGAAAGTACTATAATTTTGACAACTTTCAGTTATAAAAGCACTAACTAATTTTTACAATTATAAAAGGTTACTTACGTGGTAAGGAGTTCCCAAATAACAATTTCGGTTCACTGTTACTCACTTTATTAATTGTTCACTTTACTTTTGCAAATTTCCAGCATTATAAGCTAGAACCATTATGATTATACGCGTTTCTGACACTCATACACACTCATTGATGACATTAAAATAAATACGGACTACCAGTGTTGCCGTTTTGTAAATGGAAAAAATGCCAGACTTTAGCGGTGGGAATGCTAACTGCCACGTCTTGTTTGAACTACAAATAAAAATAATTTTAAATAGGTAGTGTAATAAAATGCACTGTTACTTGTTTCAATAGCTCTTCAGGAGCGTTATATAAAAGACAGTATTTTCCTGATCTTATGAGGCCATATCTGATGTGTAGAATCAAGTTCAGTGTATGTAGTGACATACGATTTCTTAATAGTGTTTTCACGACATCCATTTGGCAGAATACTCATTCTATCTCAGCTTAGAAGGTAATTCAGAAAATGTGTAATATAAAAATATAAAAAAATTATCCCTTGAGTACATTCATTCATGAACATCCGATCAAAATCATTACAGATAGCTAACTCCGAAGACCGAATAGTATTCTATAAATTCGCTAATCGGAGTGAGGCGTAATTATCGTAACAGGTATTTGGGAGCCGGCAGGAGGGAATAATTAAGATGCAGTACAAAGAACAAGCCGTGTTGAGAAAACCATCATCTTTTTATTGTTACTCGTTGCTATAGTAATTTGTCAATATTAGGGTAATGCTAGATCGATGAAAGTAAGGGTCTAAAAGATAAAAGCGGTGCTACACAGTAGCAAATGAGTCGCCACAGGTATATTGATATAACAGATTGTACCTGCTATGAACAAATTTAAATAACAGTTCCTGTTCTACACAAATTGCTCAACAAAGGTTATTGAAAGAATAATTTCGTCATTACACCCCATAGAACAATCGTAAAACATTGTTTTTTGTAGTGAAAGTGTCTGTATTTTTATATATTTCTTTATAACTACCCCGCTGCCACCGCAAGGAGACGGCAACACGGTGACCCAAACAGATAAACCACAGAAACTTACACAGGGTCAACATGTTGTTGATTGGTAATCTCAGATTATACATAACATAATCTTTATACTTCTCAGGTAAACACCTGAGAAGTATAAAGATTATGTTATGGACAAATGTTATGGATTTTTTGGCCGAGTGTGCACTTTTAACGTTTGAGGAAGCAGTTAACTCCAGTGAAAAGGAGAAATGGTTGAAAGCTATAGAAGAGGAGAAAATTTCTTTAGAGAAGAATGGCACATGGGAGTTGGTTGATGAAAAAGAAGCTGAAGGAAGAAAACTTTTAACAAGCAAGTGGGTCTTTGCTAAGAAGTCGGATGGAAGATATAAAGCTAAATTAGTAGTCAGAGGTTTTCAACAGAAATATAAAGTGGACTATGAGGAAACCTATAGTCCCGTAGTGAACAGTACTTCGCTGAGAATTATTTTATCGATAGCAGCTCAGAAGAATTTGAAATTGAGACAATTCGATATCAAGACAGCTTTTTTACATGGAAATCTAGAAGAGAATATTTTTATGCAAGTGCCTAAAGGTTATGTTGAGAAGAAGGGGAAGATTTGTAGGTTGAAAAAGAGTCTTTACGGTCTAAAACAAGCTCCTTTGATGTGGAATATAAGGTTTACCAGTGTTCTGAAGAAAATGGGTTTCGTACAATTAAAATCCGATCACTGTATTTTCATTAAAGAATTGAATGGTGATGTTGTTTTTCTTGCTGTATATGTAGATGATGGTTTGCTTGCTGGTAACTCTTTTGAGGAACTGGATAAGATTCTAAAAGAACTTAATAGTGAATTTGAAATGTGTGTTTGTGACAGTGTCAGTAATTATATTGGTATAGATGTTAATGTTACAGATAATGGGATTAAAATAGCTCAGGCTAGCTACATTAACAAATTAATTAATAAATTAAATTTGCAAGATGTAAAGACAACTATTACGCCCTCTATATTTACTGGTGAACATCCTGTTATAAATGATGACTCTCTAATTGAGGAGTATAGGGAGGCGGTGGGTTCTTTACTGTATGTAGCTAATAAATCTCGTCCTGACATCGCTTTTCATGTGGGCTATTGTAGTAGACACCAAAATAATCCAAATGAAAATGATAAGTCTAATATTAAATCTATTCTAAAATACGTAAAAGGTACATCTGGTTTGGGTATTGAGTATGTTAGGGGAGATAGTAATCTTGTGGCCTTCTGTGATGCAGACTTTGCAGGAGACTTAGATACTCGGAGAAGTACCACTGGGTACTTGATTTGTTTTGGAGGAGGTCCGATTGCATGGGCATCTAGAAAACAACCTATCGTTGCGCTCTCTAGTACTGAGGCCGAGTATATTGCTGCTGCTGATTGCTGCAAAGAATTATTATATATACAAAATCTCTTGAAGGAATTGTTACACGTTGTACCTCAAACAACTTTGATGGTCGATAATCAATCTGCTATTGCTTTAATGAAGAACGGAATTTTAAATAGGAGAAGTAAACATATTGATGTTCGTTACCACTTTCTGAAAGAAAAGCTTGATGAACGGTTATTTAAAGTTGAATATTGTCCAACAGAAAAACAGTTAGCTGATATACTAACGAAGAATCTAACCAACGTTAAATATTTGCAGCTTCGTAATCAAGTTTTAGTGATGTGATGGTCTATGTAGGAATGACTTAAGTGACTAGATTTTTCTTTTTAAAGTGATTGGTGGTTTTGTCTTGTGATAGACGTTATAAAGACTTTTAGGTATTTTAATTCTAAACCTTTTTTTTTAATGTAAGTAGTATTAGTGTAAGGGGGTGTTAATAATAGAGATTCACGTAGTGGAAGCGTGTGTATGAGATTGTAGTAAGGGAAAGAATCGGAATTCTAAACGGAATTTTTCAGAGAAACTTTTTACACAATTTTTGATATCTCTTCCTTTATAATGTATTGTTTTTCTTGTATTTTTGTGGTTTTAGTTATTAAGTTTTGTGGTTTTTGTTGGGAGTGTGTTATTGTTGTTTTATGGTTTGTTTGTTGATAATTTCTAAATTTTTTGGGTTTTCTTTACTTGTCTGGTGTTATGATGTATATCTGAGATTAAGGGGGTGTGTTGATTGGTAATCTCAGATTATACATACTCTTTTGATATACTCTCTATACTATTTGATTTATGTATTATGTTTGAATTACTTTAAATTTGGAATGTTAATTTTATTTGTTAAGACTGAATTTTGTCATAATTGATTGATTCCGTAAAAATCATTTGGAGAAGTAACATGTCTAGCTATATGACATAACTCTTGTATTTTATATAAATTTCATAATCATTACGTTTGGTCTAAAATAAGTTCAAAATGTTTGAGTTCAAATAAATAGTTTTCTTATCACTCCTTAAGTGTCTTTTCGGTTTGAAAATGATCCCATTAGCCACATCTACCATTCAAGACATGTCAGCACGAATTTCGCCATCGAATTGAAAGTCTCCGACTCACAACATTTTCACCATATCCGCATGTGACTCGGCGGGCCGCTTTGAATTATTTACGTCGCATGGTGGGCTGAGATGAGATTTTCAAAGACATGGAGACTAGAATTTATAACGGACCTTTTTTTGCTCATTATTCTTCTATCAAATATTACATGAGGCAATGGCGTGTACAATTGAAAGAGTTATTATTTTTTTAATAACTATGGCGCTGACATGAAAATTGAGGATATCTTTGTGGTTGCTGTATCCTTGCATATGGATATAGTCTTTGGTTATATACTTAGAAGTATAAAATCCAAGGATATATATAGTATGAAATCAAATCCCTATTAGTGATTTTTAATTTTGCGTAAGCATTTCTAGTTCGCCTGTGACAGTGACAGTGTATGTTCAGTAACAACTGTGACAATGTGTAACAGTATGTTTCTTTTTAACTAAGGTAACAGGAGTGAGTTTGTTCGCAACAGATACAGTCTTTTATCTCGAGATACCCGTTATATTTACATGATACGCGATAAATACGCCCCACTCCTCCCAGCTCGTTTCCCATTTTTTTGCATAAAAAAAATTGTTACATTTAGTTTATCTGGGATATCATCCTTTATCCAAAAGAGGGGAATGGCCTTTAACAAAACAAAGAAATAGGACATTTTTACAATTGGAAGATTTTTTTTATATGGAAGCATCGTTACAAATCTATTAGCTGTATCTATTATCTATTTATTGTCTGTATGTCTGTCAGTCAGTATCAGTCAAAGTCATTCATGATTGATATGAAGCTATAAACTGTTCTGTATTGGTGCATATTAAAAATACATAATTACCTTCCTAAATAGCATTTTAATATTGAATATGAATATTTCCATTGAAAAAAAAAGAGCTGATTGTTCAGCTTTGCCAAAAGGTTGGCAAAGAGAAGAAGTACTAAGAAAAACAGGGCTTTCAGCAGGCAAAGTCGATGTTTACTATTACAGGTAATTAAAATTATTTTTAAAATCATAAGTACATAACGATATGCTACATACGAATATTAGGGAATTACAAATTCCTGTATTAAAATGTCATGGATATTGAACAAAGTGTTTGACGCCCTGAACATTTCTTAGTGGTTTGGTAGTAGTGGTTAATATCTATAAAAGTTTTTTAATGTCAAAAAAAGACAAACGTATTTCTTCTAGTCACCTAATTATTTATTAAAACAGAAAGTTCTTTAATTCTTATAAATTTGAAACTCATGAAAATTCATTGCAGTAACCACAGTTAACAAATGCTAACTGTAACACCAGCTTGCTCTTCATTGGTCTATGGTGATAATAAATTTTCTATAGCCCTACAGGTAAAAAGTTTCGCAGTAAACCAGAGCTAGTTCGTTATCTGGGTGACAGTATGGACCTTTCGTGTTTCGACTTTCAACAGGGTCAAATAAACACAATGCTCCTGTGCAAGGCCAAGAAAGCTCGAGCCCAGTTTGACTACAGGTTCCATGTGTCATAATTTCTCTGTTGTGTTGTGATAGTGCAGCCTTGTGCTTTGTGTTTACACTTGTATCTTAATTGCTGTTTTTCCAGATAAAGCTTTTCATGTACGAAGTAGCCTTAGTGCTAAATCATCTTTGTATATTTAAATAAATGTTTGTATTTTGAGTAACAGCTTAGCTAAGTTTGAATGTAGAAACAAATGGTGTAAACATGTAAATATGGCACAGCTTAGTCAAACCACCACCTTACAGTATTACACTGCTTAGCTTTGACCTTTTCCTTGGCAATAGAATAAAAAGTTTTACTGAAAAACAATACATCATGGGGCTTATTATTATTATATCATAGTAATTGGATAAAGATGTTACCAAACCCTTAACTAGGGCATTTTTCACAAATTTTGTTACATATTTGCAAGGAAACTTTTAATCTTATGATTTAAGTCACTTTTTGTAAAAAAAATGTAGCTCATAAGCATGTGTTTCTAAGGCATGAAGGGTGACATTCATTGATTTTTCTAATGTGTGTTCTAAGGGTGGTCTACATCAGTAACTTACAGCTGACTATGAAATAGAGATCTAAATATCTATTTAAAATCTTAAATCTATTTTAAAACCATTTTTTAATAGTAGGTCTTGCTATTGTTTAAAAAAAATGCCTGAACAATTTAAATGTTTTTTCAAATTATCCACACCCAGCAAATTATTTCACCATTGTAATTAATTCTGTTATTTATTTTTGTAACAAGCAGAGGTGTCCGCTCAGATGCGTCACTGGTGCCACCCATTCGTCAGACTGCATCAATTTTTAAGCAACCAGTAACAGTTTATAAGACTCAAGAAAGTAAAGTTAAGACAGATTTGAAGCAAGGGACTCAGGAGAAACCTAAACAATTGTTTTGGGAAAAAAGACTGGAGGTAGGTTAAAAAACAATGTTAAGGTATGGTAATACCACACTATGTGGAAGCTGGACCCTCTGACTTATTTGACCTATAAAATAGAATAAATCCCAGCAGTGCACCAAGAGTAGAGTAGTTTTTCTACCACCATGTGTAAACCTTTTGAGTCCAAAATTTAAAATGCTATTATGTGTTATTTAAATCTCTAGAAACATCCAAACCTAATAAAATAATATACATTTTCAAAAATAATATAAATATTTATTTGGTTTTTGGCTAACATTTTATGGTAAATATCTCTTTGAAAGTATATCATTCGAAAAATCATACAATTTGTTTAACTTTTTAGAACTTGACAGCTTGTGATGCAAATGGAGTTATTGGGACTACGTCACTACCAAAGTATATAAAACCTTTAGGGCCATTTACATCTGATGCAACAACAATTCAATCACTAGCTACTGCTCTACATGTCTCATCACAACCCATTACAGGTATTTATTTCAGAATGTGGTAATATTTTAATAACATGTCTATAATATTTAGTGTCAATTATTTAAAGAGTTTTAAGAGTTATATTTTACAAACGAAATTTTTTAGGTCAAACTGGTTTGAAGCAAACTATTATGGAAAATCCGGGTGTTTTTCTTAATCCTGAGCAACCACTTATTGCTTCTGTAACAATAACAAAAGATGATGTAAGACGTCAAGAAGACAGAGTAAAACGCGCGCGACAGAGGCTCCGGGAAGCACTGGTTGCTGCATAGGAATACGCCAGCGGTGGGGATGGATCTCCAGAGACATCCGTCACCGCGTCAATTGAAACTGAAGCACAGCCTCAGCAGCTTCCAGACTCTACAGATGACATATTAGTCATGCAACCTGATTCTACAATAAACGACCCAGTGGATTCAAGTAACTGATGAAAATTTCAGCTCTCTGCATTTAGAATAATGTGATGATATTTTTTTTTTCACTAAATTTTTTAGTAATAATAGACATTGAACCTCCAGGATAACCAAGTTATAAATGTAAAATATTTTAATAAAGAAGTGTATAAGAAAACAAGCTTTTAAGTTTAATCATGTTTATTTGTCAATTGCAATAAGCCTCAGTTGCAACAGTACTTATAAGAGATGAAATTTCACAACCACAATATCAAGATTGATATTATTCTTATAAATTAAAGTACATCTTTTTCTTGACTAGTGATAATTTATTGTAAATCTCGTTTTCATTTTTAATATAATGAAAGTTATCATTTTGATACTAAATACTGGAATTCAAATTGTCTTATTTAAAATATTTATATTTATGGCAATGAAAGTTGATTTCTGTGATGTACAATATTTTTTTTAAACTATTGCTGTTAATTGAACATACAAGAAACTGGACAATCAATAAAATATTGTCTATAAACTTAAATTAACTAAATTTGAATGTATAACTACATAAATAACACATACCAGACTAGATTAATAATTTAAAACTAGCTACCAAAAGCTTCCTTCATAAATTACTAAATTAAAACTACATAATAATGTTATTTACATCACCATGTTTTTAAATAATGGGTCCCATGATTTTTTATAGTATATAGACCACAATTTTAAATAAATTAATATACATGCTTACTAAAGAATTTAAAATTTTGTAAGACTCAAATTATTTATGAAGAAAGTGAATACTAAAATCATTACAACTCCAAAATCTGTTAAAATATTTTTTTTATCTTATAATGTACGAGATAACACAATTTACTAGCTACAAATAGGTAGTTATCAATTATTCTAACAATTCTATATTGATAAAGGCCCCATGGTTCAATCAAGCAATTTTATTTACAAATCCTAATAATTGGAATGAATTGTTTTTTCAAGGAGATAATTATTTTTTTTATTAAAAAGATTGGAATATTTCATGCATGAACTTTTATAAATTGATATTAGAATCAAAAATGATATGTATATATCATATATACTAATATATTCCTAATCTTCATGGAACTTATTCAAATGTTAAAATTATACAAGTGATATGTATGAATAAAATAAATAAAACTTAATCAAGTCCATGGATAAAAATTTGAAAAAAATATTGTACCTATTACCAGATATCCAATAAAATAACATTGTATAAATTGTGAAAAAAAATCTGGCATCTGTTGTGAAATTATAAACGTTCTCCACTTACTATACATATTGTCAACACCTTCCAGGTTGGCAATTGACAAATGATGCATTGGAACTCTTTTGTTGGTACTTATGCGTCTAAAGTGTTCATTAATAGCATTTTGATCCGATGATGGTGTTGGCCCTACATGCATTCGGCTTGCACATATCCAATAAAGGATTGGACTTCCGGATGCTAAAAGCCTAGTTGAAACTTGAATATGAACAAATACAATACAAAATATGCTAAGAAACATTGCATGTACTACATATACAAACATGTTAGGATCATTGGCCCCAAATCCTTTAGAATATTGTTTTTGTTTATATACTAATTTATTCACATATCCATAATTAAAAATATTGTCCTTTAATCCAAGTCTTAAGCATAACATAAAATTATTTCTTACATATGAAATGCAATGATAGAGAATCAGGAGCAATATTGGTGATGCTAACAAAAAGTTTGGTGCTTGCTTCAGTTTATAATATTTAAAGAAACCAACATCCCAGTAGTGAATTTGGACATATGAATATGACACTGGAATAGAAAAGTTGCACCAGGGACTCAAGGCAGACCCAGGTAAAATGTAATCAATGTTTGATAAAAATTCTGGTAAATTGTGATCATTGTAGGTGCAAAATTTAAAGTAATTATACAATTGAACAAGCAAAAAAGGAATCAGCGCTACAACCATGGCTGAAAATAGTGCTACACCAGATGTTAGCAGAGGCAATAATAGAAAAGGAAGCATTAGCCTGTGCTTAAGGGTCTTGTATTTATAAACAATTTCAGGCAAAGTCCTTTCGATAACATTTTTGAAACTTGTGTAAAATATGAAGCCTAAGTTAACTAAACCATTTGATCGAGTTATCATCGAGAACCCTGCAGGAAATGAAACGGTCATATCAATATTTGCAAATCTTAAGGACTCATTCTCTGTACATTTAAGCATAGTGTAAAAAGTCATAAATGCAAACAATGTTTCAGAGTATGGGGCAGTAAAAAATATACTTGCAGGATTTATGCAATACAATATTGCTGATTTATATGCATAACTTTCATTTCTTAAAATTCTTAAACTCAAGCAATGCAATACATCAGCTGATTTGATAAATAACAAAAGATTTACTATTGTTGCAGAGATTAATAATAAGCTGTGAAAATTTATGAATGAACCTAGGATACCACTAAATATATATGCGGTATATCTAACAATTAAAGGAAATAATGGAAAGAACGCTAAACAATTTTCATATGTATATCCAAACTGGGCAATATGAATGAAATAATGAGCATCCCATCTTTTCATACCACCTAACAACTTATTAATCACCGTATCTGCTAACGTTTTTCGTAATGTTGGATCTTCAGGACTAAGAAAAACATTGGCATCATGATCAGGTATTATAGCATTGGATATTGCTTGTAGTAAAATCACAGTAATTCGTGTACTTAATGCAAACCACAAAATTTTTTGTCGTGGCGAATACATTATATATCTGTAATAAAAGTAAAAATATATAAGACAGTTATTTCAACTTATCATAGCGTTCCAGGAGGAAACTTGCTTATTGTACTAAATTTTACTTGCATTGAGATACAACCTATTTTATAACCCAAATGTATATGTTTTTATAATTGAACATGTATTTCATTTCGTCAGTCGATGATAATTTAAATATATTTTTTTCTAAAATCTTACATTTTCACATTTCATTTACTTGTTAGTTAGAATCATTTTCATTTTTCAACAAATTTACGTCGTTTAATTCTAATAATACTAAGGCAAGGCAGATTAACATTTTCAGCAGTGTTGCCAACAACTAAAAAGAAATGGCCCTAAAATCAAGATGAAATAGGTTTAAATGACCCTAAATGCAATTTTCAAAAGCCCCCAAAAAAGCCCTGTATTCAATTCAAAGATGTTTTTAAATGAGTTTTACGTTTTGTTAAGGTAAATATAATATAACTTAGTTTTAACTACTTTTTATTGTAAATGTTGAAATAATTTATAAAACAACACAATATTAACAAACATTACATTCATTAACAGACATTTTGCTTTTGTTGTACTTGCTTTAGGACATATTGTTCATAGCCCTAAACATGGCCGTAAACTTTTTTGTACCCAAAAAAAGCCCAACTAGCAAGACGGATTTTCAGATATGTAAAAGTACTACTGTTTGGAGAGATTAACAAGCGATACTGAACATTCCGCTTCGTGCTTTCTTACGGAACGGACCTCACTCTAAGACGGAGGGCTCATACCACCCGAATTAAGCGATACACGCAGTAGTTTAGTGTTAGTTTAGTGTTAGTGTAGTGTTGTGCTCGTAGGCAAGTTCCTGTTCTGGAAGTAAAATTCTATAAACATTTCTCGCCTCAGAGGCGGCATTGTTTTATTTAATAACTGCGTGTTTGTTGCGATAGGCGACAGCTAAGTACCCATCCTAGCGCACCTAAAGCGCAGGCGAATTAGTTGTTAGTTTTAAGCACAAACCTCCTTGCCACAAGGTGGGGAGGCCTATTTAGTAACTTACACGCCGGCGGGGCGCAAGCCCCAAAGGCTCAAGCGCTCGAAATGGGTTCCCAGAGGAATTCCTTCGCCAACGACGTCCCGAAGTGTGGGCAAACTTTCTCGCGTTCGTGAAAGAACAATGTTTAGTCGTCGAGTTCGCCATCGACAGCCCGGCTTCACCGGCAGTCGCTTTGCCGCCATCTCCGGTGCCCTCTGCGCCAGTTATCGTGTCGCCCTCTGCGACAATTGAAACGACCGTCGCGTCGACCTCCGCCGCCGCGATCTTACCCATCGCGCGTTCCGCGCACGCCATCTCGGACCCCTTCCGCGTCGTCGTTCCCGACTCACAATCCGATAGCGGCTCGGACATGGAGGTCGAAACGACCCCCGCTGATAACGCGAACGCCGACGGCTCCTCCGTCGTAAAGTCGCGTGAGAAGGGCTAAAAACGCGCCGCAACCGACAGCGACCCCGAATGCGAGGCCGCCTCATCTAACCGTCCCACCGCGGCGCCCGCCAACCGCCAACCGGTACTAGAATTCGCCGTCGAGCGTAAAATTAAGCCACCGGCTCCAATAATAATTCAAGAGAAGGCAAAGTGGCATCAAGTATGCTCGTTGTTCGAATGCCACAACATCCGCGACCACAGGTCGAAGAATACACATATGGGTATCCGCGTATACCTAGATGCAACTGACGACTTCCGCCGCGTAACTAAGTACTTACGCGAAAATAAGAATAACAAATAGGTTTCCATACCTACTCGTTGCCTGAAAAACGAAAACTTCGGGTAGTAAGTAATAAAGGCCGTCCCCAAAAAGTCCGACATCCGACTCTTTAGGGACGCTAAGGCTAAGATCGACATCCGCACTCAGGGATACCCTGTACATGCAGTTAGTTCGTCGCCTCAGACACCACGAACCCGTGTCCCTATGGCCATGGTCATGGTTGAACTTGACCCTACCCCGGAAGGTAAGGCCATCTTCAACTTGAAGAGGGTCTGTGGGCTCAGCGACCTAGTCATCGAGCCCCCGCGAAAATCAGGCATTGTGGCACAGTGCCACAACTGCC